TTTTGAAAAAGCAAGGCTATGTGAAATTCAATGGAAACGTCAGCTCAACTCATATCATTGTGGGAAAATTTATCTTCTAACACTGATTTATCATTTTAAACGAAATCGGGTGAATGCATCTTATATTACTGATTCACTGGTAGTCACGAAAACAATACTTAATTCGAACAATTATCATCCAGCCTGATTCTAATTTTTATCTCTCCTGATTAGCTCTTCCGTACCAACAAAGAAATTCGAGCATACGTGTACCGAGTAAGCAGAAAATATGTTAACTTTCATACTAGACTATACTACTCACGCTTAGTTACACAGCAATAACGTATTTTAACCTAAGGACCCTCTCATATTACATTTTCCGTGGATATTTTGTTTCTATTGGTAAATATATGTTTGCCAGATGTAAGGATTTTAGATTTTGGGCTAAGGCGATTAGCAAGATACTGATACTCGGATATTAATAATAAGAGCTATGCATTCTAACATGACTCTTTTCCATTTAAAATCACAACTCTTCTGGTCAATTTGGGTAATAATCATATGGTCATGATAATAATTTAGTTGCTTTTTAACTAGTACATCGGAGTGAAATATCTGCATCAAATACAAAGAGATGATTTCAAGTGCTTTCGTAAACTTAATACCTTTTCCTCTGGTTAGCGACAGATCTCTGCTCCAGGCATATCCTTTTTCCTGGTCTTGCTTTATTGTTTTTTCCGATTTTGCTTAGGTAGTAGGCAAAGTTGTCGCTAACTCTACCTTCCTCCAATCTCCTGTTCATTAGATTTGCATCCCCAAGGATGTCAATGGCCTCCCTAATCTTCCGTTTCCTTGTGTTGTCCACGTATGGAGCTCTTCTTTCTGTTGCCTTCTAATTAATCTCGTGTCCTGTCTGTGCGATGTGTTCAGTTAGTTCTAATCTTTCGGTATCCATTTTCCTGCAGAGCCTCTGATGTTCCTTGATTCGTGTGCTATTTTCTCTCCCTGTTTCGCCATTATATTTCTGATTTCAGGCACCTCATGATATACAGTAAACTCCTGAACAATTCAATTTGTCTACCCTTTCATATTGCATTGGTAGACTTGTAAAAAGTGCTGATTTTTCTTTCATGACCACTTAAATATTCCATTTACTAAATATTGGCCGTAGTTTTTAAGTTAGTTCACAGGAAGATAGGCATATCCACTTTTGTGAATCCATCCTCGGCCTTTCTGTCCTTTCATATTCCCCGTTCCGTCATCGGCTTTTCACGGCCCGTATGTTTCCTTGTATTACTTCGCTAGGATAGTCATCGCCGAGGAATATCCCCGTCAACTTATCCAGCTCCTCGTCCAAAAGTTCTACATCCGTTAATCGTAGGCTTCGGATGATCATGCTCCTCAATTTTCCAATCTTATGCCTGTAATTGTGATGGGACCGGAAATTGAGTATTATCCCAGCCTAGGACTTCTTTCTGTACAATTTTTTTGAGCGTCCCATTAGAACGAATCACTTCAACGTCCAGGAGCGGTAACCGCTCACCTTCCTCTAATTCCATCGTGAATTGAATTTTTTCATCAATTTGATTTGTAAACTTCAGAAACTCTTCCAGTTTTTCTCTTCCATGTGGCCAAAGTGCGAAGTAATTATCCAAGTACCGCATGAGCACTGCCGGTTGTAGGGGTGCCATTTTAAAGCTCTCTTCTATTTTGTATACATTGGCCATAAGTGGTGAGAGCGGCAATCTCATGGGAAGTCCAAATATTTGTTCATAGATGTTTCTATTGAATGTAAAATAGGTTGTCCTTATTGTAAATTTGATTAGTCTGGTTAAGGACTCCTTAACGATTCGTGGTGATTCCAGGATATACTCATCTCGGTCGAGGATTTCCATCAGTGCT